ATCACTTATTTTCTTTCACATCCTATTGTATTGGGCAGCTGTGGTGCACAAGGTATGTATTAAATGCTTAACACACACACACACATAGCATACACAAATGTTTGCCATCCTGAATGTCTAGAATAGCATATTCCTGCTGCCATGTTTCTAGGTTAGCAGGCTTTATAAACACAGAAACAGCCCTGATTTTTAAAGAGTTAGAAACATTATTGCAAACAAAGTAAATAACCAGCATGTTGTCTTCCCTTAGACCCCTTTCTTAATAGTATTATACAAGAAATTTCAACTTTCTGGTATCTTCCTAGTTCCCAACTGCAGCTTTACAAGGAGGCCTGCTATGACCATGCCATTAAAATTGTAAACCACTCCCTCTCCGTCAAAATGTAATCCTTTTTTGCAGCCTCTATTTTTTCCGTAGCACCTTTTACCATCCAACATATTATACAATTTACTTGATTATCATTTTTTATCATTTTTAACCATCCCCTTTACACACACACTCTCTCTCTCTCTCTCTCTCCTTGAAAGCAGGACTCTTTGCCTGTTTTGTCCATTGATTTTCCTAGGTACTTAGAATAGTGCCTTTCACATGGTAGGGGCTTTATAAATATTTACTAAATGAATAAATGCATGAACAAACACTGCGGTGGCAGTAGGCAGTTCCTGACTTTTTCTGTTGCCTGAAGTCGAGTCAATTGCCAACTTTACTACTTCATTTCTAGGGTTAAATTCTAATGTGTCTTTACGTGGTGGAGAGATGGGGAGGTGCACAATATTAAATGCACAGTAGATTACATAGAGTTCCAAGTGCCAAAAAGGAAACAAAACACAGGAGAAGAATAAAAGCCGGGAGATGAGAGGCTAACATTTTAGACGGGAGAAAGATCAGATAAAAGACGAATTCGCAGTGAAAATCTGAAAGAAGTGGAAGTTCAAGGCATATGGATACCTGGAGGAAGAACATTCTAGGCAGAAGGGATGGAAAGCACAGACACTGAAGACGAGATCATGTCTGATGTCTTTGGAGAGAAAGCAAGTGGTCCAGTGTTCCTGAATCACAGAGAAGGAGAGGATGAGGAGAAGAAAACAAGGCCAGAGAAGTAAATGGAGGGGAGGTGGCCAGATCATGTAAGGAAGCGAAGATCATAAAAGAACTTTAGCTTTTATCCTAAGTGAGGTACGAATCCACTGGAGAATTTTAAGCACAGGAGGACGTGAACTGATTTACATTTAACAGAATCATTCTCACTGAGGTTTTGAGAACAGACTGCATAGGAACAAGAATAGAAGTAGGGATGTGGCTGGATGCAGTGGTTCACGCCTGCAATCTCAACACTTTGGGAGGTCAAGCTGGGCAGATCACAAGGTCAGGAGTTCAAGATCAGCCGGATCAATCTGGTGAAACCCCGTCTCCATCTCAAAAAAAAAAAAAATGAGTAAAGAACCTTATTCAAGGATGGAGAGTTGTCCAAATGTGTCAAAATGCTGGTAACAGGATGTTTAAGATGATAATTGAGAAATGACTATTGAGGTTAACAATGCAGAATATCATAATTGAACTGTGTCCCCATAAAAAGATGTGTTGGAAGACTAATTCCTGTTACCTCATAATGTGACCTTATTTAAACACAGGGTTTTTACAGATGTAATCAAGTTGAAATGAGGTTACTAGGGTGGACCCTAATATAATATGACTGGTGTTCTTATAAAAAGGTAGAAGTTTAGACACACAGAGAGAAGCACACAAGGAGAACACCCTGTGAAGACTGGGGTTATGCTGACTTATCCAAGGAACAATGAGAAATTAGGACAGAAACCTCAACAGATTCTTCCTAGTACCTACAGGGGAAGCATGGCCCTGCTGACACCTTGATTTTGTAACTCCAACCTCCAGACCTGTGAGAGAATAAATTTCTGTATTTAAGCCACCTAGTTTGTGGTACTTTGTCACTGCAGCCCTAGCAAGCTAATACATGGAGATGAATGATTGTCATGGGAAGAAAAATTACAATAAAATTAAAAGGATCTAATTGAAGTGGGATCCAGAGAGAATAACAAGGAGGAAGCTGAATAGAGTATGTATAATCAAGACTTTTAAGGTGTTTTTCCATAAAAGGAAGGAGAAAAATAGAAGAAGGCAGAAAAGCAAATGGTCTGAAAGAGCAGTTTTTTGTTTTTTCAGTGGGAGAAATAATAGTATGTTTGATACTAATGGGAATAATTCATTAGAGAAGGAAAATTTGAACTTGCAGGAGATGGGGTAGATGTGTCTGCACTGAAGGCGATCTGGTGCACTGAAGGAGACTGAGACTCACAAGGATAGGTTATTCACCAATAATAGGAAGTAAATAGGGTACAGAAGCACAGGTTCAGGGAGATGGCAGTGGCTTCATATCCTCCCACTGCTCAGAGAAGTAAGAAATAAAGCCATCAACTGAGAGTTAAGAAGACTGGAAATTGGTAGAAAGAGAAGAAAATGAAATGGCAATTTGGGAGTGTGGGAAATAGCAGAAACTGGTCATAGTGACAATTTTCATATGCTATTGAAACTGATTGGCACACTTTGTTTAAAAATTTCTCAGGCCGGGCGCGGTGGCTCAAGCCTGTAATCCCAGCACTTTGGGAGGCCAAGGTGGGTGGATCACGAGGTCAAGAGATCGAGACCATCCTGGTCAACATGGTGAAACCCCGTCTCTACTAAAAATACAAAAACATTAGCTGGGCATGGTGGCACGTGCCTGT